GCAAACCCAACAGAGGAGGAAAGGAATTCCCGTCTGAAAATCACACTCTGTGGTTCTAACATTCACGGTTTTGAGAAATTAAACTTTCTTAATCCCTCTCCTTCTCGCTTCTTCTTCCCTTATCCTAAACTCACTTAGCGGAATCTGGGTGGAGGCCGGGGAGGAGGCCGATCCAGAGAAGAAATTAATTGTCAAGGTTTGGGCAGCTTAAGTAGGACACAGAATTGAAAGAAGAATCTTGAATTCCAAAGTCCACTAGTGAACTTTCCATTCATCTCCCGAGGGATGGGGAAGTGGCCTTACAGAAGTTCTTTAAAATCTTGGCTGTGCCAGGAAGATTTTAGAAGGACAACCAGACTCATGGACCCTTGAAATAAGGTCTAAGTGAACCCCCTAAAACACATGATACCAACCACGTGGAAACACAGTTCTCTTCATGGTACTGGGAACTGAACCCAGGGCACTTGACCACTGAGCTCGATCGCCAGCCCTTTTTTTTTTCTTTTTTAAATGCTGAGACCTGGTCTCGCTAAGTGGCTGGAGCTGGGGGCTGCGGGTGTGTAACACTGCGCCCACCCAGCTGGAAGTACAGTTCTCGTGGAGGTGGGGTGTGGCACATCTCAGGACCCCAGGTTAAGAACTCCCACTAGAGTCTCTGAAATGGAAACAGGATAAGAAAAAGCAACCCGAGTCTGCGACGAGGGTGAGGACAGCTCTTATATACGAGAAGTTCTAGAGCCCGGGCCCAGGCAGGAGAGTCCTTCAGAACAAGCTGGGAGGAGGTGTGCGGAAGCCGTGCCAGTCCTCTCCTGCCGACAACCTGTCTCGTGTTTCTTTGCAGGGCCTACCTACTCAAGAAACCATGTCGAATGATGATAAGCATAGACCTAGCGAACCCAGGTACTGCGATCCCAGGTGTGAACCAAAGTGTGAGTCCAAATGCCAGCCCAGCTGTCTAAAGAAGCTGCTGCAGCGCTGCTCGGACAAGTGCCCGCGAGAAAAGTGCTCACCGCCGCCAAAGTGCCCGTGCCCCCCGCCATGCCCCCCGCCCTGTCCTCCGCCATGCCCCCCACCATGTCCTCCACCATGTCCTCCCAAGCCCTGTCCCAAGCCCTGCTCTCCCAAGTGCCCACCTCCTTGCCCACCACCTTGCCCACCTCCTTGCCCACCTCCTTGCCCACCCTCAGACTGAAGCACTGTGGGCACCACTAACACCACCACCACCACCACCACCATCACCACCACCACCACCACCATCACCATGTGCAATGATCTAGGCTGGACCTGAAACCATGAAGTGATGACGTGACCAGTAAACTTGTTCCTCTGCTGCACAAGGTGTCTTGGTGTTTGGTGGACATCACTTTAGTTTGCTGCTGTTTTAAAGCACAGAGAGCTACCAAGAGGCAATCCCTGGGGAATGAGGCCAGAACCCCAGACCCTCCACTGCCATGCGACCTTCAAGGACCCCCTCTTTGTCCCCATCCATCTGTGCTTAGAGAGAGGTGCCTCTTCTGAAGGGTGTCCCCCAGGGAACACCAGCCAAGAGTGGGAGAACCGTAGACATGGCAGGGGCTGGTAGAGGGTGTAACCCCAGGAAGCACAAAAGAGAGGTATGAGGAGGAGAAAGGGGTGGGATGTTGGCAAAAGATCCAGGAAGGCTCAGGAAAAGACCTGGTACCACTTTTGCTGTTGGTGGTCCCACTGCCTAGTGCAGGGGTAACCCTCATCACACCTGAACTTGACTTCTCTGTACTCCTCTTCCTGGCGAGGCTGAGAGTCTTCTGAGCACACTGGTCACGTTCGAATGCACCGCTGTGCGCACACAAATAGACAGTCTTTTTAAAAAAGGAAAGAAAGAAAAGGAGTTTTGTGTCAGTTGCCTGGATTTGGTCCTGAACTATATTTATGTAACATGTCATTACGGAGAGAATTTCAGCGAAGGGTACATGGGACCTCTCTATTTGCGACTTTCTGTGAATCCATAATATTTCAAAATAAAAACTCAAATACAAAAAAAAAGAATAGCTTTGCATCTGGGTAGACCCCAATTAGGGATAAACAGGGAAGGCATTCACAGCCGCTATGTTAGTAGGGATCGTTTACAAGGAGTTACAGTCCATGCCAAACTGGCTTAATTCACAAAAGGGAATCTCTTGGTTGGTATTACGGAGAATGATATTGGAGGAGGACGTAGAATGAGAACTGCGGAAGCCAGGGCTGCAGGGCCTGGGTGAGTGGACTCGCCTTGCCATTTCAGTCTCCCGTCCTCCTCAGGTGCTTCCCATTGTCTTCTAGTGCCCCCGTCCTCCGGTAAGGTCCTTGACCAGTGCAGACCCAACGTGTGGACAGGCCGAACACAAGGATGCTTTCCTCCAGGAAAGGAACCTGACCACCTAGAAGGTCATGAGCCCACCCCGTGACCAAGATAAAACCAGCCGTGAACCACCGCCGCCCCCAGTGTTTAACAGGAAAAAGGACTCTCTGCTGTCATGGTAAGGGGCCATGAAAGCGCCCGCTGGTTCTCGGTGGAATCAAGGCACAGCAACAGCTCTCCATGCTTCTGAGAAGAATGGACACCTGTGAATGGTTCAGGACAGCACAGAGTGTGCCGGGGACAGGTGGTCCAATCTGTGCCTAAGAAAAAGATACCAGGGACCCCTCCCGGCCCAGGTCATGGAATCAGCTAGTTGCAGAAGACAATTTTAGAACAAGAAAGCGAGACAAGGTCTTTAGGATGCTGCCCCCTTGTTTTCTAGATGTGAAAACTAGTAGTCACTCTCTCTAACATGAAGAGACCCTGGGCTTCAGGCTCTCCTGGCACAGATGGGGGCTGGACCCCCAGGTCCCCACACTCCAGAGCCACACGGAAAGGGCTGCTGGAGGTTGGGGACCTCTGGCCACCTGGGTTAGGGCACTGCAAGGCTGTGGTCAACTGTTGATACCACAAGGAACACACACCTACCCCCAAAGGAAATCAAAAAGAAGGAAAGGAGGGGAAGGGAGGAAATGGTAGAGGGGAGGAGGAAGGAGGAGGAAGAGAGAAGAGAATCATGTGACATCCTTCAGCATCTGTTAAATCACTTTTAAATAATAATCCCAGCCCCCAGTGTCTAAAAAGCAGGCCACTGTTGACTGGCATGTGAACAAATCCTTTTAGAAAGCTGTCAGGCAGAGTGTGGCCCATGGCTGTAATCCCAGCCACTCAGGAGGCTGAGGCAGGAAGAGCTCAAGGTGAGCCTCTGCAATTTAGAGAGACCCTGTCTCAAAATTTAAAAAAATAAAAAATAAGAGGACTGGAGCTGTGGCTCAGTGGCAAAGCACCTCTGGGCTCCATCCACAGTGCCAGAAGAAAAAAAAAATCATTTAGGAAAAACAATTTGACAATTAAGAGCATAACACAATCCAGTCTTTGGTTCCCACTTCATTAAACCTAGGCAAAAAATAATAATAATTTCAAAATGCAGGGGAACTATATTTAAAAAGGTGATCATCATCAAGAAACTTAGAAACAATTTAAATATCGTGGCTGGATTACATAAACTTGGACCTGTTATTTAAAAGAACATTTCACGGTTGTTAAAAATGTTCTAAAGAGAAAAAAGTAAGACCTCAGCTGGACATACAGCAGGTAGCAATTGTCTTTAGCCACAACTCCTGTCAATAACAGCAACAAGGAAATTTGTGGGTGTTCTCCTCATTGGAGGGCTATAGGTTATGGATGACAAGTATTTTCACTTTCACTGATTCCTGGATTCTCATCAATGCGCTTATCATTTGTTTTGTAACATGGATACTTCAGAGGGGTCCCCAGGAGTCTGGGAAAGACTGGGGGAAAAACTCCACCTAGGGAGCATGCACCCTGGGGAAGGGACCTCACCCTGGCGCCCTCCTTCCTGGCACAGGATCTCAGCCCCGGGCCTCCAGGGGGTTCCCTGAGAACACGGGTCTGAGAACTCGGGGCACAGACTGGGAGGGAGGCAGTTCTAAGAACATGAAAGCGCCCCTTGCCGTGTCGTTCTTATTTCTCCCGTGTCCACGAAACCAAAGATAGACATCTTCTAATGGCTACTTTCCCAGGAAAGAACCGGATCAAAGGCAATGCTGGGGGAGATGGCTAGAATGCCATGAGGGCTCCACCTCTCCACAGAATGCTGTAATTACTCCAAGCCCCAGCGGCAGCGGCGGTCAGCAGGGCTCCGCCTCAAACCGTAGAGGCTGTGTAAATAAGCAGCACCTGAAGAGTGACATCACCAGCTCTGTGCAGCACCAACCGGGACGGTGCACAGATAACGAGGCAAGGCGGGGACTAGGCTCCTCCTAGCGCGGCAAAGCAGTTGTGAGTGAGGGTCCAGCCAGACAGTCCCGAAAGGAGACACCACCATAGAATCCCCTGGACTGCACCTTCTCAAGAATCAGCAGGAATAGAGCTGGCCTGGATAAGAGGCCTTCCAGGCTTTTGCAAACCTGGACAGCTGGAGGCAACTGGCTTTGAGCGGAGCCAAGGCTCTCACAGGGCTGGGCACAGTGTCACGAGAGTGTCTGGCTTTGAAGCTGAAAGAGACCTTAGTGGCATCTGCGAGGTCCACATGTGAGTGGCACCCGGTCAGATGGCAAGATACAGGTCATTATCACACCAGCCCCTGGTTTTCCTGCCCTGCTTCCACATGACCCCAGGTCCCAGCTCAGGGGCACAAGCAAAGGCCCATTCTGGAAGACTTCATTGATAATAAGTCACAGCTGCTTCGATGTCACAGCTGTTGGTGCTCGGCCAAAAAAAAATCGGTAAATACGGCAAAGCCGTTTGCCAAACACAGAAAGAGTCTTCAAGTCTTAGAAGACTTGAACTGATGGTAAAATGTAGGCCAGGATTTGTCTCCCGGATGTGTGCAACCTACATTCTCCTCTCACCTCCTGAGCCACGTGCTCTCTCCCGGGCTCAAAGGGAATTCCACTCCGACAGAGGATGGGTGGCTTCTTCCAACAGAAATGCCCTCATCATCTCTCTCCCACACCACTGGAAGCTCTTACGGGGCTTTCGGTGCTCACCTTCCCCCAGCTCTAGCTCCACTGAGTCCAACCAAGAGCACTGCTAAGGCTCAAAACCAAGCACAACACTCCCCTCTTATATTTTTAAGGAGGCTCCCTCCCCTTTGCCCACAGAGCACGTCAAATGACCGGACCCGTCCTACAAAAGTCTCCAGGCGAGGGCCCCAGCCTCCTTCCGCAGCCTTAGCCACCACTTCCCCTTCCCCTTCTAGGACTTGGCGGGCCAGGGGCGGGTTTCTGCTGACATTTCAGACCCACGGCAGAGCCTCTGGCCTTCCCGACTTTATACGTGCTTCTCCAGTTCTTCCTCCACTGAGCCTCCTCTGATGATCCAGCTGAGCAAATCCTCATCTTCTAACTCAATTCAGGGGTCCCTTGCTCCAAGAAGCTTCTCCGCCTCCCACCCAGGGGCAGGCAAGAGGTCCCTTCCCGAGCTCTTACAGCATCCACACCCTCCTCCCTGGGACGCCTCTCATGCCATGTTCTGGTCAGCTGTTGATCATCCGACTCTCTCCCTAGACCTAACCCTCTCCAGGCACAGGAGGCCAGGCACAGGAGGCCGACAATCAGTAACAGTGAATGAGTAGCTTCTCAGTGGCACTGGGGGCACTTTTCCAAAAAGGAGTGAGTGGCCCTGGACTAAGCTTCTGTCCACTGTGCTCCCCAGCCCAAGACATGGTCATCCTTAGAATCTGGCAGTGGGAAGACAGGGGAAGGAATGACGATGGGGGCCTGAGGCTGAAAGAAAGGCAGCCTAGTCCTGGTCCCAGTCCTTCCTTGGCCACCTTCTCCTTAGGCCACAAGGTGCTGGTCCTGCCTGGCCTCTCCAGGGACGTGCAGGCTTCCCGGAGCCGTCTCCCCCCGGGGAAGGCAGCAGCATGGTGAAGGGAAAGAGCGTGACATCACACGGGTATCGAGTTAGCTCTGCACCGACCCACTGTGTAGCCCCGGAAAGCTGTTCAGCCTCAGAGGGAGGAAAGGTCTCAGCGTCTCCCCCTGAAGGATGAGACGGAAGTTCCATCGAGGGATGAGAGTGGAGTGATCATGTGAAAAAAAATAAATAAATATGCACGGGAAACTGAGCCTAGAAAGCCAGGTGCCAATGATACCTGAAAACCTGAGTCAACAGAGTCCTGCCCCGTCCACCTGAGCAGGAGCGGCTTGCCATCTGCTGTGTGGAGCCGCAGGTTGGAGGAGGAGGGAATTCCAGGAAGGGGCGACAAAGGTCTTTGAAGGCAAACAGAGTTGGGAGCCCTTCCCTCTACTCCATTCCCAAGTTAGGCTC